ACAATGGAATACAGTACAATAATTGCATGAATCCAGAAATTTCTCTGCTCTGTGCAACAGTTATAGAGTAGTTCACATACATAAGGTACAATGGAATACAGTACAATAATTGCATGAATCCAGAAATTTCTCTGCTCTATGCATGTCTTGCAAGTCTGTAGTCTTACTGCTGTCCCACGGGAGTACATGGGTAGGAGTCAGAGCATGTCATGTAAGTCTGTAGTCTTACTGCTGTCCCACGGGAGTACATGGGTAGGAGTCAGAGCATGTCATGTAAGTCTGTAGTCTTACTGCTGTCCCACGGGAGTACATGGGTAGGAGTCAGAGCATGTCATGTAAGTCTGTAGTCTTACTGCTGTCCCACGGGAGTACATGGGTAGGAGTCAGAGCATGTCATTACATTTTGTATACCTTTGTTCAAAATTTTATTAAACTATTTTATGGATGATATCCATAAATTTGGAATATATTAAAGATGTGGTGAATCCGTGATACAATTGTATCGAAGATTCACAAGATATAATATGATTTATATATCTTCATGAAATTTGGCAGGCTTTCAATAAACATTATAAGTCTTTTGTACAGAAAAAATCAGAATTTCTAATAATGAACTATTTATGCTAAAAATGAATGATTCAATAAAGGAAGATGAGTATTGAGTTCTACATGTTATCTTCATTTCTTTTATCAAAAACATTACACACAAAGTAACATAACAAATTAATAATAACAAAATAGATATTAACTTTTTTTACTTTACTTCTCTTGCCAGCTGCCATTTAGTTGATCAAACCTGAGAACTTGAAAAAGCACTGTAAAGTGTGAAGTACTTAAATAAGACAATATTAGTAATATAAATAATAAAGTACAGACAAAATTGTCAAACTTTGTAACAAATTGTTGGTAAAATTTCTGTATTTAGATATGCATCGTATCGAAGCATCAATATCTAGATACATGTCGTATTGACTACTATGATGAGATATGCACCCCTAATAGATAAATATATATGTTTGTATGGTAACTGAAATGTGATTGTATTTTACAAAATAATGGTATACTAAGATTAAGAATTATAAGACATTTGTATTTTATTAAGGCCAGTTTTATGTTATTCAATAAAATAACATGTATAGCCATGTGATTTACAACTTGTGTGTTGGGAATATTACTTAGACACAGTTCAAAGGGCAATAAAAAATTAATTAAGTATAAATAAGTGTATACTGTAACAGGCTTTTTTAAGCTATATAGGATAAACAATTATAGTTTTTGTTTTACTATATGCAGTCATTTCAGAAAGAAAAAAAGAATAATTTAGATTTATTTCCTAATTGATGGTGGTTATGAAGATATCAAATTGACCAACCCCATATAGAGTGAAGTTAGACAAAATAACAGATAAAACAAAGTTTCTCTCAGTGTGTTAATTATTTAGGAGATTATAGAGATTATGCAAATGAAATTTTCCAATTATCAGATATTCAACAGTTTGAAAAAAAAAATCACAAGAAAATTTTTAATTAAAAAATCTTAATACACAAATGAAAAACTTGATATTTTGTGTGCAAAAGTTGTACTGTTTACTGATAATCTGCAAAATTTCGTGAACATATGCATACATTATTAGTAGTTATAATATAACTATCTCATGGTTACTTTGATGGTTATTTACTGAGTGCAATGTGCTTAGCTGTAGTCAAAAGTTCAAAATCATTTTTTGGTGATCCATTAAAAGACAGAAGCATGATATGGTGCAGAACATCAACATTAATCCTCTTGCAATATATATAAAGAATACATCATATATGTGTCATGACAGCAAATAACATACTTGCTATAAATTTGACCACGTCTCTAGAAGACAGGTTCGCAAACTTGATCTAACCAAAATAGCTTGTCTCCGACTACTTCTGAAGGAGCTATCCGTGACCACCATCAATTGTTCTGGATTTCAATTTCCACATCTTGCTGTACAGTCTGGTTTCAGCATAAACAGTCTGCCTCATTTTCTTGATAGCTTTCCACTTGTACCTTCAAGCTCAACTGACCTGATCCTCATCTCAATTGGTTCTCATACTTTCTATTAAAGTTCTTTACATAATGTGCAACTCTTCAAAAATATACCATGTGGAGCACAGAAGAGAAATAATCAAGAGGAATGAAAGATACACAACATCTGCAGTAAGTAGTTCCTGGTAAATAGCACCAAAATTTGTCCAATTTAGCTAATTG